AAGAAGTACTTGCACAGTTCATCGGTCTTCTGCATGGATAAGTGAGCACAGTCACATGTGATTCAGATGCCCTGCTGTGATTTAGCTTCCCGGATGCCAATATCATGGCCATCTGAAGATAAGTCTGCCCAGCGGTGCAGACGAATGACCTGTGCTCATCTGTATTTGACCAGTCAATACGCAACCTAGACAAAAAAGTATGCGGAGGCGTGTTACATAATGATTTGCCCTGTGATGTATACCTCTATTTTTGTATTTAGTTTTTAAACTGCTGCAGGCTTGAGATTAGACGTTAAACCTTGTGAGATAATCGCCGTTTATGTTCCGTATACACTACACAAGATATTCCACAAACGTTATGCAAAATAGCACAAGGTGAATGCAGCAGAATACAGTACCTTAAATCCAAAAAACAATGCACTGCACAATACCTCAGAGGGATCAATATTGAACACTTCATCTATTGCTCCAATTAAATCTGCAAGGTAAATCTGAAAACACATGGCAAAGTCAAATCAAAAGTCCTGCAGAGTCATGATTGTGTGGTCGCTGTCAGTACATCAATTATTTTCTGCTCATGTGAAAACTGTATGACTCATCACGTTTGTTCTGTGTGATTTTTCTTTCATCGCACATCAAAATGACAGCAGATGGAGCGTATTGGTGCAAAGAGCTGACCGATCAAGGGGTTTCCTTTATGAGTAAACTAAATACATTGAAACAGCCCAAATCCAAGACTCACCATGTGCAAAAAGAAAAAAAAGTTACCTAGCTGAGTGCACACACAGACTGCACCAGCAAACCTCTTGCAAAGTGACTCCGTCTACATGATTAGCAACACCAGCAGCATGAAGCTAATCTCTAACTGCAGGAAAGCCCACCGGGTAAGGAGGTGTGAGGAATCTGTGAGTGTGCTGGAACCATAACACAAGTGGAAGAAGGAGAGGAATTAATCACTTCAAAGAAGACCAAAATATGTTCTGCACCTGCAGTGGTCATGTATTAAAATTTCAAATCACGTCCACCTCTCCTGAGCGGGGATTTACCAACGGTTTATTGAGGTATTAGGAAGATATTCAAGGGTAAAGTGACAGGCAAGAAAGGAAACAGTGCTTCCAACTTTGCCAAAAAACTGAAAACATACTCTGCGCCAATGTTTAAGTTGGGAAAGTCTTCCATGTCACTTTTAATGGAGATAAATGTTTCAACAACAAAAAATAAAATCTATGACTGCGTGAAATAGTTCAGCAGTTTAGGAATAATGTTTCTATAATATCATTGAAAGATTTAGAAAATCAGGAGAATAGCCTCCGTACAAGGCCGAGGCTAAAAACTACCAGTGAATGGCCCTCAGGCAGCACTGCATGGCCTCAGAGACAATTCTGGAAACACTTTTACACATTTGCCAAGTGAAAACTCTAACATGGAAATTAAAAACAAAAGCACATTGACTGGGTTGAGTGGGCTGAGGTGACTTGGAAAACTCATGTGGTCCAAAAAGCTGAAAGTCTTTTTGGTACTCATGAACAACCGAGAGCCCGAGTTATCGATGAACAGCTCAAAAACTGTGATGGGACGGAGGGTAACTCCTACGGCCTTGAAGGCACCATTTAGCCCAAACAATAAGGGAATGCATGTTTTTTTAGGCACGTGATGTCATGCAGCAGAACAACCACAGTTACCTCAGTTTCCTGCAGTCGTGACCTGTCACCCAGTGAAAACACTTGGCACATTATGAAACAAAAAGTTAAACTGCTGAGCAGCTGAAATCCAATATCAAGCAAGAATAGGAAAACATTTCACTTTTAAAACTTCACCAATTGCTCCCCTGAGTTCCCTGAAGCTAAAAGATAATACTGTTAAAAGAAGACGTGGCGCAGCAGAGTTTCTAAAAACACCTCAGTCGCAACATTTTGTTGGGTTTTTTTTTCCCCAAATGAAGAAGAGATTTTTCCATCATCGATAATATTTTTCAACTTTCCATTTCTACCCTTTTCAATATGAGGGTTTATATGATTTGCAAACGACTGTGTTCCATTTTTATTTTCATTTTCACAGAGCCTCAGCTCGAACTGGTCTCGGAGAAGGCAATTTACTTACGGTATTATTCCAGCTTCAAACACGACAAAGCCCGAATCAACAAATAAAGAAATGCTCAGCAGGAGGAAGCCAGTGTAGTCAAATTTAGTGTTGGACATTAATCGTTTTACACGGCGATTTACTTCCAACCTGACAGGGGTTTGGAAAGGAATTGGGGCTGAGAAACAATGTAGGACACGAAAAAAACAACATGAATGTTGGTTCCTACACAGCAACAGCCGGGAGGCTTCAAATCATTTTTGTGCTTCTGTAGGGTCTTATTGGTGTCTAAAACAGGTCAGAATTGTCTTTTTTCTTTGTTTTCCTCAAGGGAAACAAGTCTTTTAACTTCAATTAAAGTAACAAAAAGCAAAGAATGCATCTGACAGCACACACACCTAATTTAATGGGTAGCGGTGCTCTACCTTGACTGGTTTAACCTTGGAAAGTCACTGACGTAAGAAATAAACTTTCCCAGAGTAATTCAACTATTCAAAAGCCAAAAATCTGTTGTCACGCTCCCCGAACAAATGGGAGCATCGGCTGCTGAAGGATTTTATTTATTTAATTTCATTTTTTTTGACAACACGTCACAAAACTGAACACAACCCAAATCACACCACCAGTGGGGAATAAGAGAATTTATTGCAGGATTACGCACCTGGCAGTGCCACGTGAATATGATTCATGAGAAAACTGTTTATTCTGCTCTGGTACCACCAGAAGGTTGTTAATATTCAAGTCTTTGGGCATGTGCAACACTCATGGAATGGATTTTCTCTCTGCAATTCAAACAGGCCTTTACATATAGCTGAGGGACTCCTGATCCAATGATGGGTGACAGCCAAAGATAACAAAAAAAAATAAAATCCCCCTATAATTACTGTTCCGATATTGCAAGCCAGCGCCACTGTGGATTAGCCTTCCAACAGCTGTGCAACAGTATGTAAGGTTGTTGCTAAAAATAGATTAAAACAGCCATCTCTTATTCACACAATTTGCAGCCTGCTCACTTTCTTGCCCCTCTCCCCGCCCGTCCCCTCCTCCTCCTCCTTCCACCTCCCCCTTCCCTTCCCTTCCCTCTCTCACATCCGAAATCGCAGACATGCAGCACGAGCTTCAAAGAGCATAGATAACTTGGGGTAGCGCAAGACAGGCTGTAATTCATCACAACACATGCAATGATAATGTCATCTTCACAACCAGAGAGTGGCATTTAGGTTTAATGCACCCGGCGCTCTCACCTATCCTGTGACTGATAAGTAGGCACTGGGGGAAAGCGTCACAGTTTGACTTGAAGTTATTATTCGGCCGGGCTTATGTATAATAAATATACAACATAGGCTGAATAACAAATGTGGATATGTTTCAGTAAGTAATAGAACGGAAACAAATTGCACAAAGAAACCCTGAAATGCCTCTAAACGTTTAACCAGTCATGTCTTTTTCCCTTGATTTTCCACTGCGTTAACACTGCCTGCTGTGTTATTCACAATGCCTGGATGAGCACCTAAGTGAGTAATCATTTCAGTCTTTCAAATCAGGAAAACCTATCCAATCCTCCTAATTACCACTTAGGACTCCAAGAAGCAGCTATTATAAAATACAAGGAGTAGTTCTATTAAAAAAAGTTTACATTGTACAGTGTGCCATCACAGAACATTTCCAATGATGGGAAAGACGACTTTTGTTCCTACTGCTAAACAGCGTCCTAAAAACAAGACACGATTTACTGATGAAGGAGAAGACAAAACCCGAAAGGGTACAGCTCAACTAAACACACGCAAAAAGAAAAAGCCAGCGCTCCTGTTTTAAAATAATATTTCTGCACCACAGAGGATGTATATGCGCCCAGTTCAATCTGCAGCAAACCTGTGAGAACCCAAAACTCTCTGCTCAGGTCTCTTAAGGCCAAAGGCTTCCATTTTCTGTTCTGGGGATTACGTGACACTTTGCAACAGTTCAACCGAGGCAGGTTTTGTCACGCTGTGAGGTTTGATCGCAAAACCCAAATGTATGTATGGAGGCAGAAAAATATCAACTGAATATAGGAATAATTGTTTAAACAACTACAATCTGAATTTACTCAGAAACCTCATATTGTAAATGCATTTTGTCAATAAGGTAAAATGTCCTAAAGGTTTACAGTGACGCTACTCTGGCTGGACAAAAAAAAAAAATAGGGAGTTATTGCTCAGTTATTCCATTTGCTACTATTTTACAGCTGCTCATGCTGTTGTGTTCAATTAATGAGCTGAATTTTCTGCGGCTGATCTCGTTCTTTTTTCTTTTTAGACCTGTGGCATGTTCAACCAGACGGAGATCAAAGGATTGCACCCATGAAAAAGTGAGCTTCAATCCCACATACCCACCTCTCACACGCACGAGTCGGAGCACACGCATCTTCACACATGACATTGCTCATGTGTGTGTGTGTGTGAAAGGAGCATCACAGTCTATCAACAATAACACACTGCTCTGGCCAACTGCTTTACACTCCAAAGGACTCCATATACTTTATAATATATATATTAAGAAAAAAATACATATATATATGTATATATATAATTACAAAACTGCGTGGAGGCAAAAATATTAATAATATTAATACCCTGAATGACATGATTAAATATGTTGACGGAACTGAAGGATTAATTGCACTCGAAGCGTCGAAACAAAGTTACATTAAAAAACGATTTCCTAATTGCAAAAGTAGGACGCACATTTTGAGACGTAAACACCTTAATTTTGCATAACCGCGTTGCTGTATTTTTATTTATTAATTTTTCAGAATAGGCTACTTTCAAAAAGCTTACCGAATATAAATGAACAGTGCGTCCATGCATTATTTAAACACTGCAACACTCAATCAGAATCAAACAGGATGCACAAGATAATTTAGTGTTGATGTTTGCACTCACTGGCTTGCATGAGCTGACCCTGACGCCCAAACACCTGGGAGAAAGGGCTTCGGCTGCAGGTGAGCATCTCCTCCATGGCTGGGCTCCTCCGGTGAAGTGGCGAGGTCCTTCGGCTCAAGAAGAGAAAAGTGGAGTGAGAGTCTGCCTCGGAGTGCGGAAGGTTAGCGATCACACTGGACCAATCCTCTCCTCTCCAGTCTCTCAATTGACTGCTAATTTGCCTTTGAAGACACTTCACAACCTCTCCCACGCCTTTTCCTGGGATGTCATTTGCTTTCTACAGCTGCCTCCCTGCTGACTGCAGATCAGTTCCGCGTCTTGTTGCCTCAGATGCCGTCAGAGTTGCTGCTGCTCTTCAGCTGATGGGAGATCTGCGTTGGGTTGCTCTCAGCCTGCTCATTAGGGCTCTAGTGTGGCGCTGCTTCAGACAGAGAGCATAGCAAACACAGCATGAACAAAGCAAGAGAGAGAGAGAGAGAGTCAGAGAGAGCAATGAGAAGGAGAACCCTGCTGCAGAGAGAAGGCAGACTCTCTCCCCTGACGAAAGCAAGAACAGAGATGACTATGTGTGCATGTGTGTGTAACTGGTTTTTACATTATTCTGTAGCTGCTGCTACTTGAGACTTTCCATGGCTTTGATTCCCTCTGTCTACATAACTGGTTCAAGGTTCAAGGTTCTTTATTTGTCACATGCATAGTTATACAAGTATAACACACAGTGAAATGTAGCCTTTTTTTTTTTCAACTGCTTCTCTTTAATCTAACTGTTGAGAAGTGTTAAGTTGAGATGCACTGAATGTAAAATACATAAAAATGATGAAGAATGATATGGCACATGTTCATAATCTGCACTTATAGATGCACTATAAAGCAACGGCAGCATACCCAGTGTTTTGATTTCGTGCGCACCTCCCCACACTCTTCTCATATATTTGACTCCAAACTGAATTTGGTTCAGCTACCATTCTTTCTTCCCCTCCCTTTCTCCCCCCTTACATTCATACTTGAGGATTATCTTCCAAATATAGACAGAGAAGACTGCATCTCTCTCTGTGTCTCACTCACACACAAACAGTCAGGTGTATGCAGGTTTTATGCAGCACTTTGCTTGTGCAAGCAAAACGGCTTTCACGAGTCCCTCGCAAGGCAAAAAACAGGGATCCTGAAGATAAAGCTCGACCGCGAGCACAAAATAAAATCGGTTTCAAACTAAAGGGGCCAGTGGATCATTAAAAATGGATCCGCATCCTTTATTAATGTCCTCGTTACTGTGCCTGTTCTGCTCCCGCATTAAGAGCACGCAGAGAGAGGAAAGAAGTGACTTTTACAGTAGTACTTTATCCTTGTATCCTGTTGGTTTTTATTACACCCACAAAGTGCTGCTTGCTTGGAGGGACTTAGCTTCAACTCGTAAAGCCAGTGTCACATCCCTCTTAGCTTTGAACTAACAGTTGCGAGAGGCGGCAAATGAGCGGCATTAGGATCTGCAGGGCTACATGAATTTTACTTCCCGAGATCAAGATTCCAGCCAAGGACAAGTCCGACATAAGTGACTCTGGCTGCACCAAAGACGACGTTGAATTTGACTCAAATAAACATCACAATAGCCAGAACAAGCATGGCCGGAGGTACTGTGATGTATTTTTTTCCTCTCATCTCTCTTCACAAAACCGCTGTGATCCTGACGGGTCCTGTCAGCATTTCATGTTTGTGCACATCCAAACCTAATCCGTACTTCCAGATGACACACTGCATCATTCAAAGTCTACCAAGTCATTTAGGTTTTTGACAAATAAGACGCAGGTCAGGTCTCCGACCCACCCAGAAGTAGGGGGAAAAAATTGCAATCCATCTCTCAGTGGTTGGAATTTAATATTGTGCATCACACCGAGAATAAGTGATGAAATTAACAAGAAGAAGATCAAAAGTTTCTCCTTCTTAGACTTCTGCGTGGCTGTTTTTGTTTTCAATCATCTCTGATCATGTTTCCTCACTTCTCACCAGAGCTTCCTGTGAGAATTCGACATTGCCCTGGGCTAAGATCTTCAGCTGTGTTGAGCATACAAATGCAGCATCACAGTTTGAAGTTACTGCTGAGCTTGTGAGCACTGGGAGTTCTCGCACCTCAGGGCTATGGTTTGTCACTATACGTACACTGGCACGGCTCCAAGCTAAAAAAAATCACCTGCCAGGCACTGCTACTTAAGGCACCTGAAACCTAATCCCTTATTCCCAAAGAGTGTAATTGGACTTGTTTGAATTCTTAATTACTTAAAGAACATCAAGTGAGCTAAATTCCTTTACACATGTGCTATAAATCCTAAGAACTACAGTATCTGACAGCTCATGGATTTCCTCAGTGCAATTACAAAGCAGCACTCTCACCCATATGTGTTCAATTTGAGTAAAATCCATTTCCTGGAGCTTTTGAATGTGTCAGAGAAAAAAAAAAAACCTCCAGTAAAAACCCCAAACCATTTGTGTTCATTTGACTCAGAACCGCTAAAAGCTTCTAAAGAGTGAAAATGTGAGGTTCACCAGGTGGAGAACAAAGCAGCTTTAGAAAAAACACACACAGTTTACTGCACCTATTGCTGCTGAATCGTGTGCATCTGCATTACACTGCTGGCTACAGCCATGACACAAGGGGCTGCGGAAATTACAGCGATATGTCAGCGTCACAGACTGATGTAAGCCACTGCTACTGTTTCCTCATAATACCAAAGAGTCATGAAATAAAAAATCTTTCCGCTCTCTTCATATATTATTTGCCCCTGGGCTTATCATTTGCCCACAGCAAATAAAAGATTCAGCCTAACTGCCAATTTCCAATTAAACTCACGCCCACTGCACTGCATGTTAATGAACAATTACATTTAGGCAGAGATTACTTTTCGTCCGTAAATGACTGATGGTCAGAAACTTGGACCTTGTCTCTACAGACAGGAGAGAGCTGCTGCCTTTCTGTGGGTAGGATTTCATTTTTAGCCAGCACCCCTGTTAAATTTGACTGGGGCCTGTCTCATTTATATTCAAGAACCAACACTTTGAAGCACTCAGATGATGTTTTCTTTGATCACTTGTAACTCAATGGAGAAACGCATTTATGATCAGGTCCTCCAGTTTGAGACACACATGCACAAGCACACAGGTGACCAATACCTCACAATATCACACAGATCTGTCTGGGTTAAAGTACAGACATCGAACACTATGAGAGACCGAGGCAACTATGATCCTAGCAATTTTAGCAGAAGTCTGCTAGCAAGTAATTATGGACATAAACAATTCATGTTTCAAATTATTCCAAAAATGCAGTTCAGCAAGTTTCTTATCATGTTTAAAGATGTTTTCAAAGGGTTTCTCTGACATTGATTATTTCTAGTCCCAGATTAAAGGAATAATTCAGTGAAGACCTCCATTTAAACAACTTTAAGCCTAGGACTAGGCTTAATTTATTTATTTAACCTTTATTTAACCAGGAAAAAAATCCCATTGAGATTAAAAACCTCTTTTTCAAGGGAGTCCTGGCCAAGAGGCGACAACACGTTAAAATTACAAAGTTACATACATATTATAAATAACAATTACATTTTAAAAAACATTTTTCTCTGGCTCTCTCAATCTGGACTTAAAAGC